ATACGAGACAATATCAACCTTGTCGACTCGAGTAGCATTGAGGCTAAATGACGATGCTATTCCTCGTCTACTTAGATGGTCCTGCACCTATTCGCATGCTTTTAATGTTTTGGAGCGAGAGGTCTTCGAGAATCCCAAGGTGAGTCCCAAAATGTTCTTATTGTTTTTAGTATTTAATATTAAAATTAACCTAACTATTTGTGTTATACAGTCGAAGGTTGTAGTTCGTTTGCTGTCAACTGATGTCGAACGACAGCACATGGCTCGCGTTATGCATCCACCGGTGGCCCCTGTCGGACCTCCTGCACCCACAGAACTTGCTACAGAACCACTGGCTTCTACTTCCACCGCTTAGAAGTCTCCCGTTACTGGTGAGGTTGGGGATCCAGTTGAGCTCGATGATGTAGCAAAAGATATTATTGGTGAGGATGCTTCCCTAGTGGTTGATCATGCAACAGAAGATATTATAGGAAACGATGGAGGACAAGATCAATTGTTGCCACAGAAAGGGACGAAGAAGAAGAAGAAGAAGTCGAAGCATAAGTGGAGTCGGGAACTGCGGAGGCTCGGCGACAGAGTGACAGCCATTGAGACAACTCTGACGAGCATGACGACTGACCTAAAGGACATAAAGAAGTATATGAAGAGGCTAACAAAGGTAAGGGTTATTGTATTATCTGAATTTCTTGTTCACATCCGTATGTTTATAATTTTTATTACGTAGGTTATGTCGAAGGGCCATAATAAATTTGAAAGAAGAGGCGGTGGGCCGGATCAGGATGGTTCTTCGGGCGGACGTGATCCGATTGGGCGTGATGAGGAGGATACGGACATGGATGAGGATCCGAAGACAGGGGAGGAGCTGAAGGCAGGGGAAGAGCAGAGGATGGACGAGGATCCGAAAAATTGTGAAGAACCCGCCGAAAGCAGCGAGCCTGACGTGGAGATGGATCACACTCCTACCATTGTTGGAGCTACCAAGGAGTTCTCAGTTGGCCACCCTGGTCCGGTCGACGTAATTGAGGTATTTCTGTAACGATACTAACTGGCTTACGTTAACCTACCTTTATTTACTTAAAGTAAATGTTCGTCCATTTTTAGGATATTACTCTAGGTGGGTGCGCTAGTGACAGAGAGGCAAGTAAGGGGCGGATGGTTAACGTACCGACACCGCAACCCGCAGGGCCACCGGGAAAGCAAACGGATAGGACAGAAAGTCTACCCCTACCCTTATCACATGGAGGAACTCCACAGCTGGCCGTCGTTAAGGTAACTCCAACGTCGAACCCAAACTCCGATGTCATTAAGTGTTGTATTGAACTTTCTTTATACTTGTTTCAGGTTGAACCTGAATTTATTGAAGGCCCACTTGGCCAGGGTCTTCGGAAGAGGAAATATCCGTGGAAGTTGCGGGCCATATACACGCCCACCGGCCAACGTGGTATCAAAGTTCAATCATACGACCCTACATGCCCCATCCCACCGCTCCTGGACGAGGGGTTCTAGAAATGGATGGACGACCCATCAATCGACGGCAATTCCCGTTCAACGTCAGTCGCGATAAAATATAAGAGTTGGTTTGGACTGCTCCTGGATCCTCAGTTTCAACTCGACGACGAGGTTAGTGAAGTTTAGAARCAGCAAAGTCGTTTTTAATTATAGACTTATACTTTTTATAATGTCACATGCAGTATATCGACTCGCTCATGATGCTAACGGCGAGGAAGGTTGAGAAGTGTAAACATCTATTGCGTGTGCGATTCGCAATAGGCGACGTACTTCTATCCGTAAGWTYGGSTTACCTTTSACCCATGTATGTAACGAACGATATTACTTCGATACGTGAATGACGTTTGTGGGGGTTTTTCTCTTTGCAGAACTTGCTACGACGAACAGACGGGCCATATGCTGCCATGAAGCCGGGTGTCCTGCCGTCGAAATGTACGTATGATTGGAGGCAAGAGCGTACCATCTTTCGGTACGTGCTTGGACGACAATCGGACTACGA